CCAGGCCAACTTTTGTTTTTAGTCTAAGAAACTTGGAAAGCCATTGAAAGGTTTAAAGATGGGGGAGAATAATATGATCATGCTTGTCCATTGTTAGACAAATGTAATAAGGGCCGTGAGTTATACAAGGTATTTTGAATGCACAGACGAAGAAATACGTCTTTAGGGAGGGTGGAAAAGGTCACCATTGTGCTGAATATTAACGAGAAGAAAGTCACCAGAAACACAATGAGGAGAAAGTTCTAGACAGAGGAAAGACAAATGTGATCAGAGTGCTGCTGGTGTGAATAAACGGTACATTTAGGTTCCTATGAGTGGCATAGTTTGCCTCAGGCATAGGGCTCCTCCATGAAAGGAATGGGAGATGAATTTTAAAACGTCGATGTGGGCAAGATCATCACACCTCTGAAACAAAGCCTGTAGTTAGGATGACAGTGTAATGACCCAAACAGGGAAACTTTCAGAGTGAAAAAGGGTGCTATAAATCTTACAAGAATTGTCATTCATCATCTACGGTAACTCTACTTGGGTAGATTTAAATATATTGAACAACTGGAATAAAAGGTTTTTAATAAGACAAAATTTGCACGTACCGTCTCCCATCCAGCCTAAAAATGCATATCCCATTTCTCTTAGAAAGCTATCACAGATGGTAAGAACCTACCTTTGGAGCTGCGTATAATTCCAATTTGTACAGTTAAACAGAGTAAACTGACCTTCCAGCTTTCGAAGCTCTGAACTCAAGCTTCCATTTACCAAGTATGAGATGCTTTTCTGCTACTGCTTACTTAACTACATGAACCCACTTTACCTTTCTATTGGAATGCCGGTCTTTCTAGTCACATTTATCTTCATAGCTTGTGTTAATCAGAATTATTTTCATTGCAAGTGACAGAAACCCAGCTGAGGAAGACAGTGCTGACCACCACCAAATATTCCAGCTCTCTACCTCCCAGGCATATGGCTGAACTGCCCTTGCAGGTCTCCCTCAGGCAATGTTTACCATTTCTGTATCAGATTCTATATTGGCTGCCATGAGTCTCCCCAGGGCTCTTCTCCTCTGCCGTAGAGAAGGACAGTGTTGTACACAGTTGGTCCCCCATCAGCTGGTTTCTCGAGGGAGCACAATGCAGGGAAGAGCCCCCCTTTTAATGCACAATGAACATGAAAATGAGGGACAGCAGTAAACGTTTGGTGTTCCAAGCCACTCAGGTTTTAAGATTGTTACTGTATCATAACCTAGCCTATCCTGGCTGATGAGCCAACTCAAAGTAGCTCAAATGAAAAGGAGAAATTGGATTCTGTGGTTTGGAGGACTTGCGGAGTACCTCATAGAATGTACAGGCATTGATCGACTTACCACCTATGCAACTTCCGACCATTCGACTTTATGACCACAATCGCTAGCCACGACTTCTCCGCATCTGCAGCGCAAACGTTGCCCAGCTGGGCCTACGACAGTGCGGACCAGCTTCTGGCAGCACCACCATCTCCGCGTGCACCATTTCAACTGTTATCCCAGACTCGGTACAGCAATTTGTGTTTTGTACGTGTTTCTATATTTTGATACGTTTTGCAATTGGGAAAATGTTTCCTATGGTATTTTTTACACCTGTATTTTGTATTTTTGTATGCACCTGCATTTTGTAATTTTGTATGTTTTGCAAATATTAAACCAGTTGTACTGGTAATGCAGCGTTTTACTTAAACTTGACGAATGTAAAAATAAGAAACAAAATGGTGTAGAGATGATACAAATGGCATAAAATGAACAAAGAAAATTATGATATATAACAATAATGAAAGAAAATTATGATAAAATATGACTTAAAGATTTTTATAACATCATTTCACAGTACTGTCCATATAGCCTACTCAACTTACGACCAAATTGTGTTACGGCCGGTCTGTCAGACCCAATCGTGGTCGTAAGTCGATTAATATCCTGTATAGAAATAGAACCAGGGCCTTAGGGGATTGAAGTGATGAACTAAGAACTACCTGAACCCACAGACTTTTCTCCCTCTTGTTTCCTTTCCCTTCCCTCCTTCCACCCTTGACCCCTTATTTCTCATCACTGCTTATCTTTGTTTTCCTTCATTCTGTATATTGCATTCATCTAGACAGGAATTCTGCCTGAAGCCCTAAATTTACCTTGTCTCAGCTGAACGTGTCCAGGGGAAAAGGTTTCACTGCTCCCAGTTTTCAATGGAAAATAATCTGATTGGCTCTGTGTGGGCTGTGGATACATACCTCCGTGTGTCACCCATGCTGGGAGAAGTGTCAGTTTTGCTTGCTGGCATGTGCGTCCGTGTTTTTGACTATGGTGTATTCAATTTATAGTTCTTTTGCCAGATTTTATTTAAACTATTTGCTATTTTGTGGGTCCGTTTAGAAAACATTAGGTAGTAATTTGCTTAATGCCATGTGTAATTAGAGCTACTAATAATGTCTTCACAGACCCTCCTAGGTAGTATTGCTCTTCAGTGTGCCATGACTTTCTCTGTCTCTTCATGTTACCTATTATAGTTAGTAGATACTCTTTGAATTTCTTGCATCGGATTAAATAAGATATCAAGCTAGCTAAAATTTGATGTTTATTGCATGCCCCAGAGACTAAATTTTAGGGGTTTCATTTGTTAGATGTCCTTTTTTGGTGATATTATGAAAGTTCTTGCTAACCTGAGGAAAAAAACACTGCGTATTTCTATTTCTTATTTTATTACTATCTTTTGAGATGGAGCTTCACTACATTGCCTGGGCTAGAGTGCAGTGGCTATTCACACATGTAACCATAGTGCACTGTCACCTCAAACTCCTGCTCTCCTATCTTCTAGAAGATGTCAGTTATATTCAAAGTTACGTCACCTGACACTTAGATGATACAGTGGTGACTTCCTCTGACCATGACCTTGTGGGGGAGACATTGCTAATTGCTTATATGATTCTTTCCACCAGGCTTCAGGATGCTTTTGTGCACTGTAGTCCAGACAGCTTTTATGGAGATGTAAGAATTGGCCAGAGGCTGGGAGCATTGGTTCACGCCTGTAATCCCAGAACTTTGGAAGGCTCAGGCAAGATCATCTGAGCCCAGGAGTTCTAGACTAGCCTGGGCAACATGGCAAGACCCCTGTCTCTACAAAAATAAAAAAATTGGCTTGGTGTCACATGCCTGTGGTCCCAGGTACTTAGGGGTCTGTGGTGAGAGGATTACTTGAGTCCAGGAGGTTGAGGATTTTATTTAAATGAGTTATGTTTGTGTGTTTGTGCCATTGCACCCCAGCCTCGGTGACAGAGCAAGGCCCTGCCTCAAATAAATAAATAAATAAATAAATAAAAATAAAAATTGACCTGAAAGTTAAAAACGATTTATCATTCCTGCCTGAAGATCCGTTGTTTGTCAGATAGCACCCAACAGGCAAAACAGACAGAGAGAAGTGTAGGTTAGGGGATCTTGTGGGTGTGGCCTTCAATTGGTATTGGCTAAGTAACAAAGTGAAGGTCATGAGTTTGACCCAGGAACAAACCAGGTCATCTCTTAATCCATTCCTTCCACTTTTGCTGTTTCCCACAATCTGCACTTTGTCTTGCTAACGGATCTTGATATTAGCTAACCCTTATCTTGGTATCTCTAGCCTTCATCTATTCCTTTGAGTTAACTGATTCTCTGGGACTTGTTAGGGCACTTTGTGAAGGATTGTTTTCCCTAATGAATCATCTTCAAATGGTGGTTGCTCCTTTTTTTTTTTTTTTTTTTAAGAGATAGGGTCTCATTCTGTTGTCCAGGCTGGAATGAAGTGGTACAATCATAGCTCACTGCAGCCTCAAACTCCTGGGCTCAAGCAATCCCTCTGCCTCAGCCTCCCAAGTAGCTGGGACCACAGGTCTGTGCCACCATACTTGGCTAGTTTTTACATTTTTTTTTTGTAGAGACCGTGTCTTGCTCTGTTGCCCAGGTTGGTCTTGGGCTCCTGGCCTCAAGTGACCCTCTCTACCTCAGCCTCAATGTCACTAGGATTAGAGGCTTGAGCCATCATGTTCAATAACGTTGGTTGTCTTTGTCTTTATTTGGGCCCTTGCAAAGCAGGAAGGAAAAACACCTTCTATGAAGTGGTCTTAGACTGAATGCTTCTCAAGGTCAGCTGTTTCTCCAAATTGTTACCTCACCTAAGGAAATTGAGAAACCATTAGAATCTATGCCTATTGCCTGTCCGAATGGGCTTCTCCTTTTATTGTTCCCCGTGGTTGCTAAGTATACAGTTCCAGTGATTGTTCCATGATTTCCTGGCATGTCACTTAGGGCAATGTATCTTTTTTTTTTCCTTCTGTAATATGAAATGATTGAGAGCCTAATTCTTATGGTTGTTCTGAGAAAGATGAATAAGAATTATCTAAGATTTACCACCTGAAATGTGAGGAGAATGCCCTACTTACCAGTGTCCACCCACTTCATTATGGTCCTTACCTTTACAAAGACTATGGTTATGTTGGTGCCTGGAGTTGGCCAAGGTCAACTAGATAGAATTGCAGCTTCTTTTTTTGTTTTGAGACAAGGTCTCTCATCCAGGCTGGTGTGCAGTGGCACAATTTCAGCTCACTAAACTTCTGGGTTTAAGAAATCCTGCCACCTCAGTCTCCTGAGTACTTGGGACCATAGGCGAGCCTTACCATGCCTCGCTAATTTTTGTAGAGTCAGGGTTTTGTCATGTTGTCCAGGCTGGTCTTGAACACTTGAGCTCAAGTGATCTGCTCACCTCAGCCTCCCAAAGTGCTGGGATTACAGGCATGAGCGATTGTGCCCAGCCTCTGTAGCTACAATTTTTTGAAAGTTACCTTCCTCTAGCTAGATTGTATCTCTTCGTTGCCAGGTAAAATTGTGCTGAGTATATCCGAATCACCAGTTTGATTAAATCCAGGGAAATCCCCCTCAAACTCCGCCAAGTTTAATATAAACCAACATAGTTTGAAAAACTGTCATTAACATTCAAACACATTTTCTGTTGATCAGAATTCAGGCTTTATTATTGAACAGTGAAAAGAGCTAACACTTAATTCCAAGCATGTGTAGCTGAAGTTTGCAAAGCAGGATATTGTTCACAAAACACATTCGGTATTTCAAAAATACTTATTTGAAGAACAGAATATATTGAAAATTGTTTGCTTCTAAAAAGCCCATTTTCCCGCCAAGTCTAAACTTTGTAATTTAATATTAAGCAATGACGTTATTTTGTACAATCTAGTTAAACAATGTAATGGGAATAGCAGTTGGCAGAATAAAAGATTTTGTAGATGTATGCAGTTTTCCAAAATAGTGTTCTATAAATTCAGTTTTTACCTTCAAAGATTGGTCGCCCATAATAGACTTAAATATATAAGGATGGCTAAAAAATACAAGCATACGAAAGTGTGGTAAAGAAACTAACAAAAGTGTCCTCTCAACCTCATAAAATCTGAGAGTATGGATGCTAAAGCTAAATAAATGTAAGTTGTTTTTTCTCTGTTTTCTTTTCACATGCAATCTGCTTCTTTGTTCTGCATTAGGGTTAGTTACCCATTTAAGTTACAGGTTATCGTGCATTGCTGGGAATGAAAATTGATCAGATATGCACCTTGTCATTTCCTTTTAAATTGTGGTTTTAAATTTCCAAAAACGGGGTAGGCATGAAGAAAAACAAATCGGAACCTCTTCAGAGATTTGTGTTCTGACAGAGCAGACAAGTTACTAGTCCCACCAAGAGATGCAGCGATTCCAAAGGATAATGGGCTAACAAGGTATTATTGCCAACATGGGACAGAATGTGCAACGGGCTGAGAGGTTTTTGGATTATATAACACTTAGAATCTCTGATTTAGGGAATTCTTGTTAATAAAATAGACGCTCAATTTCCAAGGGAAAACCTTTCAGGTAGCCTAAGCTTGGTTTTCTGGAGTGATGAGATGCATGCCTACTGTGGTTTATTTTTAAAAACAGACTGGGTTTATACAAGTGAGAAAGACTAGGAAAGAGCAAGATTTTAGTGCATTTTGCAGAAGCCTTTTTATCTGTGTGGACATGGCTGGATCATTATTTCTGATCCCCCAGACCTCAGAAAGGATAAAGTCCCAAAGAAACGTGTTGGCGAAATTGGCTGACTTAGTCATATTGCTATGGGCATTTGATCCTGTGTTGCAATTTTTCAATAAGTAAAATTTTTATTATTCTTACAAATCATCAACCTGTAAGTCAGGACGAATCTTGCTTGGAGGACGCGTTGGAGAAGAGCCTATGAAGGGATGGTGAACTCACAGATGTATCTCTTGCTGCTGCGACAGGCCTCATCACTCCACTTGCCTTGAGCTGACTGGGAGAACAGGACACAGTTTTCCCGCTTGCCACCATCAGGCTGTGCACGGTCCCAGTTGAGGAAGGAGATGGCAGCTCCATTGACATCAACAAACTTGCCTTCCGTGACCATATCATTGATGCCCAGCCAAAAGTCATTGACACCTGGCAGGCTCCTCTTACCATAGTCTCTGAGGGCGTTGATTTCGTCGGAGTTCCTGGGGATAACCAGGATCCCTCCTTTGGAAATGCAGTCTTCATTAGCCTCATGGAACTGCTTCAAGCCTTCTGAAGCAAGGTAGCATTTCTTGTGAACTTTTATGCCTCGGAGACAGACTGTGAAGACGTGAAATTGAACATATTAAGATGCATTTTGAGTGTGTTATGGCTAGGGCTGGACCTGGCAAATAGCGAGAAGTATTTGTGGAATGAAGTGTGATAATGATGAGTCAACGGTTTTGTATGCGCCGGACAACATGCTAAGCAGTTTGCGTAAATTAAGTCACATGATCTTGACAACCCCATGAAGTTGTGCTTTATTACCCCTATTTTTACATGTCAGGATATTTAGGCTTAGAGAAGTTGTTACTTGTAACAACTCAGCATTTTTTTTAAAAGAGGTAATTTATACAGCTTGTGAGACTATAGCTACTCAAACCCAGATCTACCGTACTTCAAGACATGGCCTTAAACGTCATGCTGTTCTGATACACACATGCTTGCTAATCTGTGTAGCTCCATTATGTGCTGGATTTCCTTGAGAGTTTTGAAACTAGATGGTATTTCATTTCTATTTAAAAAGCCCAGATACGGTGGCTCACGCCTATAATCCCAACACTTTGGAAGGCCAAGGTGGGGTCAGGAGTTTGAGACCAGCTGGACCAACATGGTGAAACCCTGTTTCTACTAAAAATACAAAAATTAGCCAGGTATGGTGGTGCATGCCTGTAATCCCAGCTACTTGGTAGGCTGAGGCAGGAGAATCGCTTGAACCTGGGACGCAAAGGTTTCAGTAAGCCGAGATTACGCCACTGCGCTCCAACCCCGGGTGATAATGTGAGACTGTGTCTCAAAAACAAACAAACAAAAACCAAAAGAACCTAGGTTGGCATGTGGAGAGAGTGATTTTCTTAAGCAGATAACTGAGCCTTGGTAATATTGTTTAGATTATTCAGGATAAGCCAAACTTAATGATAGTTTTAGGCCATAGCATTGACAAATCAGGCCTCAGAGCCATACTGCCTGGGTTTCCGTCTCACCTCTGTCATTTAACTAGCTGTGTACATCTTGAACAAATTAACTTCTTTGTGCCTTAGTTTCCTCATCTGTAAAATGAGGATAATAGTAATAGCGTAAGTTCTTGGAGGAGTGGACATAAGTTGTCGAAGGATTAATGGATTTGTGTTTATGAAGAATTGCTGGTACCTGTCGGTATGGGTAAAGGATGAACAAAACTCACCTTCTGCATAAGCATTTCACCATCTTTTAACTTTCTAATTCTGCTCCCCTGGAAACCTGATAAAGGGAGGATGTCACCCTTGTTACTAGGCAACATTGCTTATGGTAAAAATGACCCCACATTGGTAATGTGCATCTGGCCTGGGAGTTACAAATGCTTGATGGAAAGCCATAACGTCGTGTTCCCTGAAGGCAGTTACTTGTAACTAGCCAGGTCTCCTGTGGGGACCCTTGACACCCTGCTTTTGAAATTGCTACAGAGAATATTAGCTCCTTGGGGAATGAGACTTGTAATCCAAGGGCTGTTCCTGAACCTGCCCAGCATGGCTCACTCCTCACCCGTTGGAGAAGAGCTCGTGGGCAGTGTTGCATGTAGCCAGGTGTGGTGGCATGTGCCTTTTGTCTTAGTTACTTGGGAGGCTGAGGCAAGAGAATCGCTCGAACCTAGGAGGCAGTGGTTGCAGTGAGCCGAGATCCGCGTCAGTGCACTCCAGCTGTGGGGAGGAACACTGGCGCTGCTCCCTCGGGAAGCTGAGGTTCTAACCCACATCCTTCCAGCATCTGATGCTGGGTATGGCCCAAGTGAGTCCTGGAGGCCTGATAGGCACTTAGTTAACATCCGATAAATGTTAATCGTTTTAGTTATTTCATGCTTGCTTCATTCTATTTCATTATCCTTTAGGGAATAAGTGTGGACCGACTTTTCAAATGTATTCCTGAACTATCTATTATTATTTCTATACCACCCATATATAGGAGAGTGGGGTTGTAAATGAAGCTGATTTCCTAAAACAATCATCTCCGAGTGTTTGGGCCCTCTTATTGGCCCCATTGCTGATGTGTCAATGTCAATGTTTCTTTTTTTTTTTTTTTTTTGAGACGGAGTTTCGCTATTGCTACCCAGGCTGGAGTGCAATGATGCGATCTCGGCTCACTGCAACCTCCGCCTCTTGGGTTCAGGCAATTCTCCTGCCTCAGCCTCCTGAGTAGCTGGGATTGCAGGCACGTGCCACCGTGCCCAGCTGATTTTTGTATTTTTAGTAGAGACGGGGTTTCACCATGTTGACCAGGATGGTCTCGATCTCTCGACCTCGTGATTCCACCCAGCCTCGGCCTCCCAAAGTGCTGGGATTACAGGCGTGAGCCACCGTGCCTGGTCTGTCAATGTTTCTTTTAAAAATATGTCCCCCAAGGCCGGGTGCAGTGGCTCACGCCTGTAAACCCAGCACTTTGGAAAGCGGTGGTGGGCCGATCCATGGGGTCAGGAGTTCAAGACCAGCCAATCAACATGGTGAAACCCCATTTCTACTAAAATTACAAAAATTAGCCTGGTATAGTGATACATGCCTGTAATCCTAGCTACGTGGGAGGCTGAGGCAGGAGAATCACTTGAACCCGGGAGGCAGAGGTTGCAGTGAGCTGAGATTACGCCACTGCGCTCCAGCCTAGGCGACAAAGCGAGACTCCATCTCGAAAAAAAAAAAAAAAAAATAGTCACCCAGAAATTGACCCAGAAATGTTTCTGTCTCCTTTCGGGATGAGGCACTGATAAAGCAGCTTACCTGTCTGCAGGGCTTGCATTTCCTTCAGGGCGTTGACTTCTCTCCAGAGCTTTTCAATTTGAGTCTTCAGATCTCCATCCTTTTCTGGGGAAGATTTTAGGGTGGGAAGGGGTAGGTGACATGAAAAGCATATGATTAAAATAAAATGAAGCTTTGCAATGTAGGATCTAAGGCAATAGTGGTTTCGATGAAACTGAGCTCAATGTAGACAAAAATAATGTGTGAAAATAACTTGTGGCTGGGCATGATGGCTCACGCCTGTAATCCCAGCACTTTGGGATACCAAGGCAGGTGCATCATTTGAAGTCAGGAGTTGGTGACCAGCCTGGCCAACACAGCAAAACTCCATTTCTACTAAAAATACAAAAATTAGCTGGGCATGGTGTTGAGTGCCTGTAACTTCAGCTATTTGGGAGGCTAAGGCGTGAGAATTGCTTGACCTTGGGAGACAGAGGTTGCAGAGAGCTGAGATCATGCCACTGTACTCCAGCCTGAGTAAAGGGAGTGAGACTCTGTCTCAACAACAAAAAAAAAGATGAAAGAAGGAAAGGAGGAAGGAAAGAAGGAAAAATCGGACAAGAAGATTACTAAGAGCTCGAGGGCAATCATAATCCTAGAAGGTCCTTCTATGAGTTGGGAGGGCCCCTCCCCAGTTCCATCCTGTAACTCTAGGCTTTTGATTTTTTAGGGTCATCTGAGAGTGAGCTCTGTCTCTTCTTCCCTGTGTGTTCCTTCTGCCGGGATCACTCTTGCCCCAGCTCTTTCCTGTATTCTTACCAAGCTTAACTATCTCCTCTTCTGATTAGACTTTCCTTGTTAACCTGTAGTTTAGTATCCCTTCTGCTAATCTATCTTTGAAACCTGTTATTCATTCTCTAGTCTCCATTCACATTTTCTTCCATTTTTTTTATGGAATAGTCTCTCTATTTTCTGTTCTCTATTTTATTTCATCTGACTTGTTGTTCATGGTGCTTCTGATGCTTCACACGATGCTAGGCACATAATAGGTGCTCATAGTATTGTCTATGAATACACCCTTTATGGTATACACGATGGTTACTTTTACATGCTCTTCAAACATAGCTATGAAGGGAGAACAACTAGATTCCCATTGAAGAATGAGGACAAGTAGAATTAGAGAGGTAACTTGGTAGATATTTGGCAGAACTCATACTCAGACGTATTTGGGTCCCCGAGTCCCCTGTTGGCAGTGTTCCTACTCAACCCATGCCTCAGGTATGGGGGCTTCTAGCAGGGTGAAGTGCTAAAGGCTCATGTAGAAATACGTCTGTACTGGGTATTAGCAAATTGTGTAGTCTTGCATGTTCCTGGATGAGGCTAAAGGATCTTCATGGCTGTCCTTGACCAATCTTGGCTATAAGAAAGTGGTGGAAAACAGAAGATCTTTGCTAAATCAAAATTTCAGGCCCAATAAGGATCCTCTTAGAGACTGGCAGCTTGTGAGTCTCCAAAGGCATTAATTAAAAATCATAAATAATGAAGTATTAAAAGCCACCATATACTGTTTGTCAGAGATCAATTCTTTCTGCAGTGTTTTGAGAGAGATACTATCCTTGTCTCCATTCCACAGAAGGAACAGAGGCCCAGAAAGTGGAATTCACCTGCTGAAGATCACCCAGAATCGGGATTTGAATTCGCCAAGCTCCAGGCCCCTTCTCTGTACATCCCTCCAATCTGCTTCTCACAGTGAGTGCCTCTGCCTTCTTGGACCCTAGCACACGTAGACAGAGAACGTACAGGCAGTGCTCGACTTACGACCATGATTGGTTCCGACAGACTGGTCGTAACACGATTTGGTCGTAAGTTGAGTTTGCTGTACCGAGTCTGGGATAACAGTTGAACAGGTGCACGCGGAGATGGCAGTGCTGCCGGAAGCCTGTCCGCACTGTCGTACGCCCAGCTGGGCAACGTTTGGGCTGCCAGACGCGGAGCAGTCGTGGCTAGCGATTGTGGTCGTAAAGTCGAATGGTCGTAAGTTGCTTAGGTCGTAAGTCGATCAATACCTGTACTTAAAGCTTTGTAAGAACTGTCCCCAGCTGCTGCTTTGTGGGGTTGCTGTAGAGGGAATCTATGTTTGGTATTGGATTTTTCAGGGCAGTCTAAAATTCACATGTGCTAATTCACTGTCTTCTTAAACATGTGCTACATAGGCCAGATGTTGCCTCATTTGGGTTAGGAGACTGTCTTCTGGAATATCTAGGGGTGGTCCCTGATTCTTGTGTAGTTAATGCTGCATGTCAATTTTCAAAGCATCCCATAGCTCAACTTAGAAATACAATAACTCAAGGATTTTATTGATGTGATCATTTAATCCAGAAAAAAAAGGGTACATTTAGACCTGCAAATTCATCAGCTATTGGGGGGCCAGGCTTGCAAAGGCTACTGAAGACTTGCTTCCAAGGTATAAGCAGTCACCTCTACACACGTTCATCCCCCATCCCTCTCAGCTTCCTGCTCCATTCTCCTTAAATAAGTGGTCTCCACTGGGAGATGGTAAACATTGTAATTAACATGGAGACACACGAATGAATATTAGGCCCAGGGACCGGGCTGTAGCTTCCATCCTTTGTAGCCGATGTAGATGTCTTTCGTGTACATCAAAGGGAACATGTGGAACAACTACTATGCTGTAAACATTTTATTTTATTCAGGAATGCAACACATACATTGGTGAGACCTGTGAAGTAAGTACCAGGGAGATCTTGTGTTTGACGCCAAATTTTTCAATGGCTATTTTGAGTCCCCCAAAAGGCTCCCTTTCGTTTTATTGTTGCTCTCCGGGAAGTAGACACAGTGTAGAAACACAGAACGAATTCCCAAAAGAAAGGGCCAATGAAACCATTATATGGTGTTGGGTTGTCAAGGTGTATGGGTATGGGTACTCCCATATACTGAAGATGGGAAGATGTGTTGGTGTTACATCCGGAGAGACAATTAGAAAGTATGATTAACATGCAGTTTTAGTTTGGAAAATGTAACAGCCTAACATGGGGAGCAATATATGTGTGCAAAGCAGTTACTTTGGGCGATTGAATCAAAAAGAGAGGTATTGGGAAGTTCAGCAAGAGGTATTAGATTAAGTCATGGTCCATCCAAACAATGGAATATTACAGAACTGTTAAAATGAATAAAGCATTGCTTACACTGGTAACTATCCAAGATTTAGTAGGTGAAATAAATTCATTTACCTGCCAATCTGCCAAACATTTTGCATAGCCAAGTCTTTGTTAAAAATATCTTTTAACTGTACATTTTTAACACTCTGGGAATAGGCCAGCTGTGGTGGCTCACATCTGTAATCTCCGCACTTTGGGAGGCCAAGGCAGGCAGCTCACTTGAGGTCAGGAGTTTGAGACCAGCCTGCCCAACGTGGTGAAACCCCATCTCTACTAAAGTGTGTATACACACACACACACACACACACACACACACAGAGAGAGAGAGAGAGAGAGAGAGAGAGAGAGAAATTAGCTGAGTATGGTGATAAACACCTGTAATCCCAGCTACTTAGGAGGCTGAGGCGCTAGAATCATTTGAACCTGGGAGGTAGAGGTTGCAGTGAGCTGAGATCACACCACTGCACTCCACCCTTGGTGACAGAGTGAAACTGTCTCAAAACAACCCCACAAGAAACAAAATGCGAAACTTCTGGGAATAGTATTATCCAGTAGTTAATACTGGATAATGTTGTGATGAGGATTGGGAGAGAGAAGATGGCTCTCACTTTTGATCTCATAAACATTGGTATTACATTTCAAGGTGCTTAAAGTGTTTTGTAAGTATGTGGATGGGTGGGGATGCCGTGGCTTGACACGTTTAGGTCTATTTCTTCACCTACTGTACAGTCTACTTTCTTGGACCTAATGGCAAAAAGCAGCAAAAACTGTTTTGAAGGAAGGACATTGACGAAGTGTGTACACAGTCAGCTGTTTTTTCAGTGTGCCTGCGCATGTGGTTATGAGGGAAGGGACTGGGGAAGAAGTGGGGGAAAAAAAGAGCGGGGGAGAGAAGAGAGTGGGAGGAGAAGGGAGGGAGGCCCGTGGACAGCCTGGGTGTGACCTAAGCTATGGTTACTTCAGGAACAGCCACGTGCAGCCGTAATCACATTCATACCCTCTCCGCACATTGCTACTGAGTGAGCACCACTCTCACCAGGAGTGCCACTCCATTCAGTGGTGACGAAAGGCCGCAAAAACGTGCCACGTCACCCAGCCTCTTCTCTCTCCCCCCTTCCTTTGATACTGTCTTCAGCAATATGTTTCACCTACTGATGAAAAATATTTTAAACTTTAACTAAGTGAAGTATTACATTTCGAAAGGAAAACCGATTCCACTTAACCTTGCATCAGACCTAAATTTTGTAAATGCCCTGAAAAAGAGTACGCATAATCATTAAAGCACAAGGTCACTATTTACCCACCGGCCATCTGCATCGGGTCAAAGACTCTAACCTTGTTGAAATGTGTGTGTTTGTGGGTGTGTTGGTGGGGTGTGTGGGGGGGGTTACTAATGAAGTGAAAATAATAAGGAAATAGTATCATAATAGTTGGAAATATCCTTATATGAAAGTGATGCAGAGGATGAGCTGAAACACTACCCTGTGTCTTGCTTTTTTCTTTCACTTTGGCTTCAGCATATTGCAACTACATGGCTGTCATCTTTGTTGTTAAATTTTTTAACCTGTTAACCCAATTCAAACCGCTCAAAATTTGAAGGTTGCCATGGAGATTGATTAAATTTTGCATCACAATGCCTTCAAATACTACATGACTTTGAATCTCCCCAACTTAAAGTCAATAGGCAATCTCTGTCTGGCAGGTGTCCCCAAAGTTTTTACTACAGGGGGCCAGTTCACTGTCCCTCAGACCGTTGGAGGGTCGCCACATACTGTGCTCCTCTCACTGACCACCAATGAAAGAGGTGCCCCTTCCTGAGGTGTGGCGGGGGGCCGGATAAATGGCCTCAGGGGGCCGCATGCGGACCCGCGGGCTGTAGTTTGGGGACGCCTGCTCTATGACATGAACGAGTTAAAATATATGGTATAGACTGTTCGTATACTGCTGAGGATATGGAAATACAAGCTAATGATAATGAAAAAAGAAGTCATGATTACCAAAAGCTCTATCCACTGCTACCTATTGAATAAGATTATAGTTATGTTAAAAATATAACTGAATCCAGTTACTCCATGGCTACTAGTGAAACCGTCCTCTGTTAATACATTCTTCCTGCCCCATATTAATAACACCAGATGTTCAGATATGAAGCTGAGCTTTCTTTGAAGCACTTACTATTTAAGCGCACCTAACAGAAAATACACAATATAGGACTTTTTATTGCCAATTTTTTTCCCTGTTTATAAATTTTTAAAAAGCCCAGCACCATGGTTTCTTTAAGATTAAACTATCCCAGATAATTAAAAGATCACTTAATCTGGAAATGCCATATAGGCATGATGGCTTGGTGCCGTCACCAAAGACAGTCTCCTGGAGGAGTGTGGAAATTAACATTGTCCTGCACCTCCCTTTACTGTGGGAGGCTAGAATTTGGCTTGACTGAGAAGCCCCCTTACCTTTCACTCTGCGTTTGCTGTGTTTCCTGGCTTTTAATCTGGACGTGTGGCTGGTGGTCTGGTCCAGGAGTAAGGTGATCACCAGGATACAAATTACAAATCCATTCTTTGCCATGGCTCTGGGGCAAGCCTGCCGAGCCACGTTGCCAGCCCCGCTGAAGCAGCTATGCAGAAGGTAGACTACAGAGCTACATCTTGCTCTGGGATGCCTGGGGCTGGCTTATAAAAGTGAGCTTTGGAGGTTGGCTGGAATCCTGCTGACGAAATGTTTGGATGCCTCTGCTGGCCACAGCACAAGGTGGCCCCTTGTTCTCATGCCTCATGTTAGGCTTATTTATTTCTGCTACATTTCCTAGTGATTTGCCTTTTTGGAGTGTGTCAATGTTAACTTCAGCTTTTGCCTGTTTGCTTTCTGTTTTAAAGTCTGAGAAGCTTGGGGTCTTTGTGAAAACCTAATATTTAACTCTTTGATTTGGAGCTCTGAATTTTACTAAATGTTCTGGAAAATGGATTTAATTTAGTTTTCAGGGCAGAAAAAGGAAAGTTACTGCATGCGTGTGTGTGTGTGTGTGTGTGTGTGTGTGTGTGTGTGTGAGTGTGTGAGTGAGTGTGTGTGTGTGGTTGTATGTGTGTGTGATGCTATAGCACCATTCATTTAAGCCAGTGTGTCTACTCACACTTGTGTATCTGCACAGCTCAAGTGGACCTAGCTTGGAAATAGTTTGCTCAACGGGATTTACGGAAACTGTGGAAAGAGATACTCAGTAATAAAATAAAAGGTTGCAAAGACCTTTTGCCATCTCTAAATCATTTCTAAGTCTCTTCCCACACCCCCACTGTGCTTTTCCTCGTACATTTTCTCTGTCATTCCACGCTATCCCTTCCCCAAATCAATCTCTTGGTGTGAGCTATTTTGTATGTGGTCTACTCCGTCTTGTCCTTCGGGTCTGGACTCACATTGCCACCTCCACAGAGAAGCCTTCTCTAGGTGCATAATCTAGGAAGGTCCTGCCCGGTGATTCTCCATCACAGTACCCTGCTTCCTTGATAGCCTTCATCACAATTCAGTTCTCATTTAAACTGGAGTCACACTAAGAAATCATCACTCTCAGTGCCGGTGAAGCTCCGGTTGGTCTTGTGGGTTCTTGGCCGTGAGGCCAGGCAGGGACCGAAGCGGTCCTTTAATTTGTCTTCCTCCTGCAGGAATTCCAACTCCAGCTTATTCTTCAGGGAAAAACCAGAGAAAATTAAATAAACTAAATGGCTGACAAGATTGGCTATGAGAAGAGAAAGTGGGATGAGGGTGTGTGGATGGTGACGGATCTGAGAACATTCTCAACTGAATGTTTTTGTCCCTGTCACAATGCTGACAGACGTGGCCTTCCCATTTAGGTGAGCCTCCTCCCCTCAAATCTTAACAGGAAAAGCACCTGGGATGGCAGTGACCTGAAAAAAAAAATTACATAAAAAAAAAAAACTCACACACATCAAAGATAACAGGGTGGGATGGCCCCTGCCCCACCTTGTCCTTGAAGAAGGCAGGCCTCACTGTTTTATTGGAGGCAGAACAATTCTTTTTTTGTAGAGCGGGATGATGTCACCAGCTTGTGTCCTGGGCTGGACTTGGGCTTCTATAAGGACTATTTAAGAAAAAAACACATTTATAGCCGAGGATAGACACTATAAAAATACTGCCTTTAGACAAAAAGCATTTTGATGAGAATTTTTAAACTGTCACCAGGGTTTCATTTTCTTTAATAAATGGCTGTTTGCAACACACTCCCTGACCACCCTGTGCCATTGGTGTGTTTATTCCACTGGTTGCTATTTTAAAGTCCCCCTAAGCTGTTTTCCAGAGTCTCAAGTTCTAATAAACAAATCTATCTGGCCTCATGGTCATTCCTCCATGAATACCCAAGGCCAAACACGTTTAAAGGCTGTGTTCAAAGGTTCAGATCAGCATTTAAAGGGAGCGATAGAACGGAACTAGATTCAGCAAGGCTGAACTGCTTATGGGAAAGATAGGTTTCAGCGGATGTGCAAAGCTGCCTTTGGCTTTCTACTTCAGTTTCTACTGTGCTTATTACTTGTAGCCGTGGCTGCCAAGAGTGTTAAAGAATTTACAGAAAGGGGTGGTGACAGCTTTCAGGGAAGGGAATTAAGAGACTGCTCCATTGGAGAAGTGTTGCGTACAGACCAGGAGCAAGAACTCGGAGTTTGGGATTGAAGTCTCGGATGTGTCATTGATTGGCTGTGTAACAGGGGGTGGACTTTCTCGTGTTTCTGAACCTTGATGTTCTGATCCCTTTTGCAGCTAGTTGAGGAAACCAGAGCATGTGTCTACAACAGAGCCACATGTAGGTGATGAATCGAAGGGTGTTTGGGTTTCCTTCAGGCTCATCTTACAGGTAAACAATCATCTCCTACTTGCGGAAGGTCCTCAGCCTTGCGGCCGCCCTGACCCCAACCTCACAGATTCGGCTCCGTGTGCACCCGTGATAAACACATGGCTGTTAGAGAACTTCTAAAACATGCAATTATTATACATCACCCCCCACCCTTGGCCGAAGATGTGGCCTTAGACATGCACCTTGTCCTAATCTCTTATTTTCTAGACCAGTGCTGTCCAGTTAGAGTACTGGAGGCCGGGCGCGGTGGCTCAAGCCTGTAATCCCAGCACTTTGGGGGGCCGAGACAGGTGGATCACGAGGTTGAGAGATCGAGACCACCCTGGTCAACATGGTGAAACCCTGTCTCTACTAAAAATACAAAAAATTAGCTGGGCATGGTGGTGCGTGCCTGTAATCCCAGCTACTCAGGAGGCTGAGGCAGGAGAATTGCCTGAGCCCAGGAGGCGGAGGTTGCGGTGAGCCGAGATCGCGCCATTGCACTCCAGCCTGGGTAACAAGAGCGAAACTCCGTCTCAAAAAAAAAAAAAAAAAAAAAAAAAAAAAGAGTACTGGATGACCACATGTGGCCAGCGGCTGCCACACTCGTTAGAACAGTTCTAGTGTCTAGCAGATGGACTAACACTTAGGGGAGGTACTTTGTAAATGGTTATTACATAAAAACGTTCAACCAACTAATACTTACGGGAGGTACTTTGTCAATGGGTATTACATAAAAATGTTCAAGAAGTTTTGCAGTCAATAGATTGGTGACTTAAAGTCAATTCATCTTATCCTTAATCTGAACCTAGGCCCTCTGCTAGGAGATTTTAAATGGAAATCTAGTAAGAAAGTTATTATTAGCCTTGTCTCAAAAAGATGGGACCCAGCCTTAGTGAAGCGAACGTTCTTAGACTCCTCGACTTCTAAGAGTTAGTCAAACATGGCTCTCCCATATCAGGGCTTGGCTGAGGGGTGAGACCCACCTGGTGGGGAGGGGATATGGGGCTTCATGGGCTTACCTAGGAGGTCAGTGTGAAATTCCTGGTAAAGTCAGGGCAGTGAAATGAGAACAATGGAAGCTCCAGTTTAGGTATGCCCTTTGCTACTTGTGTCCCTGATGCAACAGCTGGCAAGTCTCTGAACATTTCCACTGATGGAAAATTCACTACCCAGCAGCAAGGCAGCTGGTTCTACCGCCTCACCCAGAAGACTTTCCTCCTTCTCTTCTGTCTGCTTTACCGACTTCTTATGACCAGCCCCCTTTCTTGAAGACCTGTAAGGAAAGATTACAGCCCCCGATTTTAACTCGGGAAGTTCCCCTGATATTGCTGGGCTTGACTTGCTTTGTTTCCACCACTTCATCTGTTACTCTAAGTTCTTTGGGTTCTCACTGCTTAGGTCACAGCAGCCTCTGCCTGCTTCCGTCTGGTTCTGCTCTATGCACGTGGTTGTCACCTCCCTGAGCTGGTGTCTAATGTATGACCTCATCTTAAACCAGCTCCCTCCCCTCTTCTGGGACCCAGTGTTCTCCTGGCTCCTTCCCACCAGACACGATGCTGAGGCCACTGTCGCCTTGGCCCCACACAGGCAGACACCTCACTTCTTTACTTTCCAAAGCAACATGTACTCGTGGAAACATGCACAGGTGACATCACACAGACCTGGAGTTGAACTGTGGAGCTCACATTTGCCAATTCTGTGATTTTTTTTTTTTTTTTTTTTTTTTTTTTTGGCAAGCTCGCTAACCTCTCTGAGCCTCCCATTCCTCTATATGGGGAATCATAAAGATTATTTACCAGCAATGTTGGGGAGATTAAACAGATGCCCTGAGAACAGTTACAATAGTGGCTGACATCCATTCTGATATTTAATAAGTGGAATTGCTACTAATAATCATTATTATCATCATAGTTCTAATAATATCTTAGCTCTTACCAACTTCACCCTGAAGCCCATTCCTCTCCAGGCATCCTGCCTGTCCCCATCTGGTTGTCGCCTCTAACCCGTCCTCTAGCACTCACTGCAGTGAACAGTCTATTTTTTAAGGAAGGCAAGCATTTGGTTGATGTGTTATTCTTAGGCGTACTGACATTTTAAATTTATTGTGAGTTTTGCCTGGCCCTGCTGCCAGATACTCCAAGAATACAAAAAAAGCCAGTATTCCTTTCTCTTCCACCAAGAGCAAGGGCAACCCACGGTGGAAAAACCTTCCCAGTTCCTTTCTGTGGCCCTCCCAAGTTTAGACTTGGTAGAAATAGTTTTTGGCCTTCAGGTGACAACAACAGGGTCCTTGTTCTTCCTCCGAATTCAGAGGCTTGCTGGCTCTAACGGGCCTTGGAGCGAGATGACTGCAGGTTGCAGAGTGGACCACTGGGAAAGTTTGCCTGTCTGGGGATTAACTAATTTTCCAACCATTATGCTGGTGGAAATTGAGTGATGGAACAAAGGTCATGTGGTGTTCTCCTTGAGCTGCTTAATAAACAGTACGGCTATTCCTTTTTATTCAATTTACATTTACAAAAAGATGGATATTTGGTCACCTTTCCAGCAAGTGCTTCCTGAGTCTGAAAACCTAAATGGAGAAATTGAGGAAATTGTTCTTAACGGGTAAACCAAGGAAATCATGTCCCTGATTGCTGCTTCTCACCAAGAATACGAAAAGGAACCAGACAGTTAGATGAACTGTTGGCATGAGGTATTATGTATACTTGTTTAGGTTCTGAGGTTCATAAAGATTTCGACCAGGCGTGATGGCTCATGCCTGTAATCCCAGCACTTCAGGAGGTTGAGGTGGGCAGATAAC